ATATATATATATATATTTGATTTTTTACAAACACCGTATAAAATAATCCAAACAGTGATATGTGTTTAATTTTTAACTACACGTTTTAGTTTAAATATTTTACGGTTAAAAAGTTCATTTATAAAAATTAGTGAAATTCGATAACAAAAAATCAGAGGGTATTTTAAAACTTCTAACACGTTTGGATAATTTTATCTGGAATTAACTCAACCGAATCCCGTTCGCCTCGATTAGGCTTTATAAGAACTATTGTGTTTTGGAGCTGACTGATAGGTCTCTGAACTTTTAAATGTCAAATTTTGAGTTCATTAAGCATTAATAAGTTTTTAAGTTAAAAATAAAGAAAAAAAATGCTGCATGTTTTTTATTTTCTTTCAATTTTGTTCAGTATTTTTTAACATTTTTTTCAAAATTCTGAACAGAATGTTATGAATATACCATTTTTGCTAAAATTTAGTTTATATTTCAAAAAAGTTCTTAAACCTATTCAGACTGACGTATAAATGTGCAAAGGAATTGAGTCTTTGGAACAAAATCAAATATTTAAACCTCAATATCTTTAGAACCCCATGTTGTAAACCTAAAAGGGATTATCAACGAAAGTTGAAGTACAACTACCAAAAGACATTTCTTTACTTGGAAATCTTTCTTTTTCTATTTGTTATGATATTTATCTTTTATTTTAGTTAAATTGAAGATAAAACCCAAATTGAATATTTGCACATTATTATTTAACACTTTAGCTCATTTCCTTTAGATCAAAGTTCACATACATGCTTTTCTCATAAATCATTAATATGCAAACCGTTGAACACTTTTTTTCATTAAACTCTCTGACCTATGATTTTCAATTAAACCTCTACATTTTATGCAAACTAAATTTGTTAAATTTTCTAATAAAAATATATGTTAAAAAGTTTTTTGAAAATCATTCGAAATTAAACTTATTTGTGTAAATATTCGTACTAATTTTACTTTTGGCACCATGAACAAATTTTACGGAAATCCTCAATTTGTTGATTATTCATACGCAAATTTTTTGCACAATATTAAAATTATGACAGATGTGGTCTGAAACTACTATAGCAGATTTATTTCATATTCAACCACATTAGAGATATAAAAACAAGCTTAATTTCTATTCTCTCTCAACCAGAAATTATTTAAACAACGTATAATTTAGAAATGTAAGCGTGTATTATTTTCTAAATAGTATGTTTACAAATTTGAAAATTTAAAACAATTAGTTATTATTTTTACGTTTTCCCATTTAAATGTGTAAAACTTCATCATTTTTTCTCTTCAATTTAGACGAAAATTAAAGGCAAAATTACTAGTAACAATTTAGGCGACTGTGACCAATTGTATCTTCTCTAATTTCAACTCTACGCAAAAGTATAATTAAAAAAATGTATTTGATTACATTTTAGAAATTGATTCTTTATATATTAATGTCTCTTTTCATAAAGTGGAGTTATGATTAAAATTTGGTACAATTTTTATTTAGAGTAAAATTAAATTTTATTTGATCTCTGAAAGTTATTGAGGCTTTTTGATTAAAATATTCACGGAATGTTCTTTTGTGTAGGATAATTATTTATATATATATATATATATAAATATAGATTTATATATATTTTTATGTATGAATGTATGCATAGCAAAAGGTGGCTAAACGGCTGGACCAAATTGGCTAATTTTTTTAACTCTTTCAAAATCGATTTTTTTAAAATTCCACGGGCAACGCCAGGCACTTCAGCCAGTATATATTACATATATATTGTCGGCTCAAAGCCTTGTAATTGTTAAATCCTACCAAAGAGGAATTGTCCTTAGGCCAAATTTCGAAGTTAAACTTGAAATTCCAAAGTGTTGAAACTCGTTTATCGGTAAAATTTTGTATTGGTTGTATTGGTGAGGCAGATGGCTTGGAAGCCAGTAGGCCTGAAGGCATAGATAACCTTCAAACCAATTCCAGCAGCAAATACAGGGAAAATTATAATTTGAAGTATTGTGTTAATTCAAATGAAAATTTTAGAACAAGTAGCACAAAAAAGGAAAAATACACAATTTGAATTATTTTATTCTATTAGTTTAGAAATTCTTCTAAATATTGTAGCTTTGTAAAATGATATTAGTTAAAAGGACTGTAAGTGTACTTTTAAGTTACCCTTGGAGACGGGTTATGAGTGGGGAATGGGGGGACTTCCCCCCTGGAAAATTGGAGGGTGGGGGGTGAGCGCAAGAAAAATGCACCTTTTAGCTCTTAAATTTGATTTTTTTAAGAGATTCAAAACAAATTTTCACTGCGGCGCCACTTTTTCTCTCAAATTAATAATTTTTATAGAAATCTTAATCTTGAAAACACATTTTCCACCTTCCGCCCCTTCATCTCCTCAAAGTTTTGACATAAAACATTACCAAATTCTCTATAAAAAGTTTCAGTGGGGGAAATTTTTGCCCGGTGGGGTGGATTAAAAAATTTGCGCAAAGATGATTAAACCATACCCTTGAAACCTTCATCTGATCACTTACAGATCTGGTGTCGTTTTTCTGGGTTTAAAAGTGTTTGATATATGCATACGTCACTTTTGTAGAGAACCCACAATTGTAAATAATCAGTTTTCAAAATTAAAAAACAATGATATCTAATTCATACTTAACTAGACAAAGTTTTTGAGCGTACCGTTGTGAATCGGGCATTGACATCACTGCGTGGAAGTTGACTTGACATTAACTTTTTTAAAAAAGAAATAGGTTTAAAATATTTTTTCATTGACGACATGTTATTAAAAAACTTGAGTTTTTTGTTTTTAATTAGTAAATCAAAAAAACTTATGATAAAATGGTGTTAAAGAATTGAAGATTTAAAAAAACCCGCAAGGTGCTCCAAATATATAAATATATATCTTTATCTATGGATTTGAAGGTCATACTGTTGGGTGGTATACCCGTGTCTAGGCGAATAGATAGATAGATGTAGATCGATAGAAAGATAGATAAATAGATAGAAAGATAATAAATAGATTTAACCATGTTGCATCATGGTAAAAAGAACTGTTAAATTCGCCTCATAAACATGACGTGATATGAGTAATATCTAGCAAAGTATTCATCCTTTTATATTCTGCTGAAACCTTTCAACCCATCTCCCTCCCCCCCCCTCCCCCATACATTCTCAGTAGCTTCAAGCTTATAATTAAACCATTTGATTCTGCTTATATATATATAAAGCACTATACACTTTACAAAGTACACACCTTAATATTAATCTTGAAATGAGTTTGTGATGTTAATCTTATTTGTTATTGTATAAAACAAAATAATACTATTAATGCACTCAAACAAATGTTTGACACTGTTTAATGTAATATCTTACATGTTTTAATACTACTATACTCAGTTTTGTAACTGTATTTAAATAGATTTTATTTTTTATACTTTAGTTTATGGGGAGTTAATTAATTCGATCTTTCACGACCTTTAAAAAGACTATACAGGCGTAATTTCAACTGGCATTTTCGATTTACAACGGTACCCTAAATGTTTTGTCTGGTCACAAATGAATGAGATGTCCAATTTTTTCTCTTTAATAAATTGGTTATTTATGAGTGACTTTCAGATTTCTTGAAACATAAACAACAGAGTTTAAAACGATCATAACTTCACTTTACCGTTGTGAGTCGGGCATGGCCCACTTTCAGCGGAGGATTTCTTCATAATTATTTTCTATAATTTTTAAAAAAACATTTTTTTAGTTTAACTGAGAGTGTCCCCTGGAAGGAGGAAACAACAAAGATGGTTTCTAGGAGGGCGATCCTTTCAAGATCAAGGTAAATATAGATTCTAGGAAAGTAATCCTTTCAAGATCTAGGTAAATATAGATTCTAGGAGAATCAACCTTTCAAGATCTAGGTAAATATGGGTTCTAGGAGGGCAATACTTTCAATATCTAGGTAGATATAGATCCTAGCAGGTCAATCCTTTTAAGATCTAGGTAAATATTGATTCTAGGAGAATTGACCTTTCAAGATCTAGGTAAATATAGATTCTAGGAGAATCAACCTTTCAAGATCTAGGTAAATATTGATTCTAGAAGGGCAATCCTTCACGATATAGGTAAATATAGATTCTAGGAGGTCAATCCTATTAAGATCTAGGTAAACATAGATTCTAGGAAAGTAATCCTTTCAAGATCTAGGTAAATTTAGATTCTAGGAAAGTAATTCTTTTCAAGATCTAGGTAAATATAGATTCTAGGAAAGTAATCCTTTCAAGATCTAGGTAAATTTAGATTCTAGGAAAGTAATCCTTTCAAGATCTAGGTAAATTTAGATTCTAGGAAAGTAATCCTTTCAAGATCTAGGTAAATATAGATTCTAGGAAAGTAATCCTTTCAAGATCTAGGTAAATATAGATTCTAGGAAAGTAATCCTTTCAAGATCTAGGTAAATATAGATTCTAGGAGAATCAACCTTTCAAGATCTAGGTAAATATTGATTCTAGGAGAATCAACCTTTCAAGATCTGGGTAAATATTGATTCTAGGAGAATTGAACTTTCAAGATCTAGGTAAATATTGATTCTAGGAGAATTGACCTTTCAAGATCTAGGTAAATATAGATTCTAGGAGGGCAATCCTTCAAGATCTAGATAAATATAGATTCTAGGAGGGCAATCCTTTCAATATCTAGGTAAATATAGATTCTAGGAGGGCGATCCTTTCAAGATCTAGGTAAATATAGATTCTAGGAAAGTAATCCTTTCAATATCTAGGTAAATATAGATTCTAGGAAAGTAATACTTTCAATATCTAGGTAAATATGGGTTCTAGGAGGGCAATACTTTCAATATCTAGGTAAATATAGATTCTAGGAGAATCAACCTTTCAAGATCTAGGTAAATAATTTATGTTTTTTTTTAAATTGATAAATTTTAATAAATTAATTTTGAAAACTTCGATATACAAAATGTGATTACTGATTACAATGATTTTTTTAGGTCATCGTTCTTGAAAGAAATCGCCGAATCGCCAAGGCGTATGCTCGAGCCCCTGTCTTAACCGTTAACGGCTCTGAGGACGGTTTTGATGGTTTCAGGTATTTAACATTTTTTCTATCATTCAATTTAAAAATTCCATAATTCTTGAATTATAAATGTTGCCCTTTTTAGGATCGGAGTAAACGGATTTGAAAATCCCCTTCGTGATCCGAAAACCGAAGAATTCAAAAAACAAATTGGAACCGGCTGCAAACTTAAAATGGACGACACGGGTAGGTTTTTAATTTCAATTCTTGCAACAGCAAAAAAAAAATGCATTTTGTTTCAGGCAATATCTTGGTAAAGAGGTTGTCCAAATCCAACATCTACGTGAAGAACACAATAGAAGAAAATGCGGTAAGATGATGCAAAAACGGAGCAAAAATAAAAAATGCGTCAAAATATCCTTTAATAATTCGTGAGAAAACTAGAATGATTCCAATTTGTCTTGAGAAAAGATATCGTGTTGTAAACTGCATTAGTATAAGATTTACAATGTATTTTTTCGGCAACAAAAATATGAAATATGCCTAGAAAGTGCAGCAAAGATCAGTTATGTTTATTCATGGACAATGTCTAATCTTTAAAGTCGATATTTTTTCATTTATTTTAACTTTAAAAAATAAATTTAATATCTAATGACATTTATTTGCCAGTGATTTTTTTTTAATTATAATAAAAAAATCCAGTTTTTAAAGAAAAAAAGTTCGATCTTTGAAAAAAAAAATTTTAATTTTTTAAGCTACCCATGAGATTACTCAAAAAATTTCAGCCCGGTCCAGCCGTTTGGCCGGCCAGAGGGAACATATATATGAATGTCTTGTTTTACTATATAGATATAGGTATCTAACGACATTTATTTAATATTCAGGTATCTAATGATATTTCTTTAATATTTAGGTATCTGACATTAATTTAATATTTAGGTATCTAACGATATTTTGAAGCTACCTAACGGTCAGCTAGAAGCAGAGAAACCGTTTAAACTGTTTGATATGAAAAAGTTCCAGCAGAATGTGAATAGAGAACTCAAAAGACAATATCCTGAAAGATACAAGCTGGAAACACAGGTTGCATAAAAAAAGATTTTTTTAAATTTAATATATTTTTTCAATTGTTAATTTTGGATACCTAGTTTCAATTTCAACACCGGAATCAATAGAAATATGCCAGAAAATAATTGATTGCTCGCCACAAACTCTAATTTCCTAAACCTTATATCTTTTGCAACCTTTTCGTGTAAACCTTTGATATTTTAAAGACTGTTAGCTGATATAGAAATTCTTAGATTTTTGGTCTAATATATACGACATCTAGTTGCAAAGATATATGGATTACAAATTAGAATTTGTTGCGATTGTTAATTTTCTTTTTCAATAAAATTATTGCTGTTTTTAAGGTTTTATAAGAAAATGAGCATGCAAAGCAAAAAATTTGGTTTTACATAATATAACGCTGCAATTAGTTTTTCTATTTTCCATGTTTTTGAGCCTAAGTGGATGACATGTAATTATTCTGAATTCTATATGGAGGTTGATGTTGAAGTAAATATTTTGTGTAGATACAATTTGTTTTATTTTTTTTCCATTATATCAGCGTTGAAAATATCACCATAATGTGTGTATCTGTGGTTTAGGGTTCACTTTACAATTATAATTTACAAGAGAGTGAGGGTACTTCATACATTTTAAGGAAATAGTTGTACACTACTTAGAATAGATGTATGATGTACGCAAAGTGTTTAAGTTTAAGTTAAAAATGTTTAGACTTAAAGGTAATATAGGAACTGAGATTTTGTCACAAGCTCAAATTTTCTAATCCCTATCTCTCGGCAACTTGCTGGTATATTTGATGTTGTTGCAAAGCAAATAGTTTTATTAAACACTTATTAAATCACAAAATGTGATAAATGGGTCTGTTTACACTGTACAATTGCTGTGTAATATGCTCATTGACCATTTTAAAGTTAAAACTGGATTCTAAAAGTCGCATAATATTCCACAGTTTTCTGGTTTTCACTGTAGGGCCAAAGGATAGCATTCCTTGGAGACAACACGAGCATTAGCAGTTAATATTACGTAGACAGTTTCTTCACAAAGGTGTTAAAAAAATCCCGATTTTTGCCTAAAACCCCCCAATTTTAATGCAGCACTTCAGCCTGATATTAAACTTCCTAGTCTTCTGTTTAAAGCGCTCCTAATGAAAATGCATGTATGAGTACCCAGGCAAGAACAGGCTTATCAGAAGGAAGAGGCTTAATAATGCACTTTTTTCTGCACTAACCCCAAGGCTAAAGTATTAGGACATGTGTTTGCTTTTTTGTTCTGTACCTACACTTTGAGAAAAATAAATATTAATGTTGAAAAGTGATACTAAAATAAATATTAATGTTGATAAATGATACTAATATAAATATAAATGTAGAACGGTGGCCGAATTTAAAGAATTTGAGCCGCTGTTTAAAAATGGTTGGTTCCACTTAAAATTGTAGCAAATGTTTCAAGATTTAAGCCGGCGCTTAATTTAAATCGGGTTTTGGCGGATTTAACCCGCAGCTCAAATTCTTTAAATTCTATCTCAGTGATATTAAAATACATATTAATGTTGATAAGTGGTACTAAAATATATATTGATGTTGAAAAGTGATACTAAATTAATATTAATGTTGATAAGTGATAACAAAATAAATATTAATGTTGATAAGTGATACTAAAATAAATATTAATGTTTATAAGTGATAATAAAATAGATATTAATGATGATAAGTGACACTAAAATAAATATTAATGTTGATAAGTGATATTAAAATAAATATTAATGTTGATAAGCTAAGTGATACTAAAATAAATACTAATGTTGATAAGTGATAATAAAATAAATACTAATGTTGATAAGTGATAATAAAATAAATATTAATGTTAATAAGTGATACTAAAATAAATATTAATGTTGATAAGTGATACTAAAATNATTACAAATACAAACTAATACATATTACAAATACAAACTAATACATATTACAAATACAAACTAATACATATTACAAATACAAACTAATACATATTACAAATACAAACTAATACATATTACAAATACAAACTAATACATATTACAAATACAAACTAATACATATTACAAATACAAACTAATACATATTACAAATACAAACTAATACATATTACAAATACAAACTAATACATATTACAAATACAAACTAATACATATTACAAATACAAACTAATACATATTACAAATACAAGGGCAGTGCTGAGAAAAATTAAAGTCTAATTTATAAAAACAACCAGATGATGATATAACACTAACAGACGTCACTAAAATAAATGACAGATGGCAAGACAGTCAGGGAGACAGTTGGATGATTGCTCAGATTAGTGGAGCCAAATAAGTTAAAAGAACAAGGACACATGCTCCATTTATCAAATATAACTCGATAAAAGAGACCCCCTCCCCCTTAGCGTCATCATTGAATTGGACTTTCTGTTGAATATTATCCAATTTATAAAAAGAAAATTATATCATATCGTTTAGTTAATTTTGGGTGAAAATTGATAAACTACAAAATTAAAAATTAAAATAAAAACTTTAATGCTGGCTTGAACATAATTTCTTAAAAACTTGTTAAAAACTTTATAAACCATCTTAAATTTAAAATATGCAATGTATAATGTATTGCTGACAATTTTCAGCAAGATTATGTTTGGCTGCAGATGTCATGCTTTGTATGGCATAGACCCGACTCCTGCCAGGGCTATTGGTTTTCTAAACTGGGTCTGCTTTAGATCCAAAAATATAGCAGGGTTTGCTTTTGATTTCCAAAGTTAAACTTTTGATGTATACAAGACGGATATGGGAGGGGGAGGGTATGATTGTAGATCATTAAAATTCTTAATGTCCTTCTATGGTCATAAATTGTATGTATTGTCAAAACTGAGAAATAAAACCATCAATATAAAGATATGGGTGGCCAAGATATCTATTCATTTATTCATTCATAATTCTCAACATTTTCCAGAAATCAGAAATTTTGTGTTGTTAATCTGAGGATCAAGCATTGAACTCCTTAGTGTTGTCGGTCCGGAAGGATAAGTAGAAACGGTTAGAAAGGTAGAAGATAGGAAATCAGAGCTAGAGCAAAATTAATTAAAAAGAAGAAAAAATCATTAAATTATATGCTATGGCTCATGCAGCTAAATAAGGTGGGTCACTGGAAACAGCAGTTATGGCGGATGCAGTAGTTAAGTTGGATACAGCAGTTAAGGTGGAATCTGCAATTAAGGTGGTTACGGCAGTTATGACGGATACAGCTAGCAGTTAAAGTGATACGGCAGTTAAGGTTGATAAAGCAGTTAAGGCGAGCACAGTAGTTAAGGTGGATACAGCAGTTTAGATGGATACAGCAGTTTAGATGGATACATCAGTTAAGGCGGATACAGTAGTTACGGTGGATAAAGCACTTAAGGCGATTACAGAAATTCTGGCGGATGCAGTAGTTAAGGCGGATACATCACGTATGGCGGATACATTCGTTATGGCGGATACAGCAGTTAAGGTGGATACAGTAGTTAAGGTGGATAAAGCGAATACCGCAAATCTTACGAATACAGTAGTTATATGGCGGACACAACATTTATAGCGAATGCATAAATTTGGGCGGATACAGCAGCTGAGTTCGCGGCGGAACGACAGTAAAAACAATGGTACGGAAACGGAAATATTAATGATAGATAAATGCAGAGCAGTATTAACAATTAAGATAAAAATAATGTGTAGCTCTGAACATTTAGTAGATTACTTTTTCGACTTATGTACATTGTACCGCTGTATTTGTCGGTCCAGAATGTGTAATAACAAAATGTACAGGCCACAGCTGGTACATTATTGGATTGTACATATACTAATTTAATAACCTNTATCAAACTTTCTTTGCTGGTTATTTATTCATAATGTCCTTCTATGGTCATAAATTGTATGTATTGTCAAAACTGAGAAATAAAACCATCAATATAAAGATATGGGTGGCCAAGATATCTATTCATTTATTCATTCATAATTCTCAACATTTTCCAGAAATCAGAAATTTTGTGTTGTTAATCTGAGGATCAAGCATTGAACTCCTTAGTGCAAACCTACAGATTAATTTTAATTCCTAATCGATTTCTTCACTGTTAGTATCCTGCACAGAAATGAAAATGAAAGGGATTAAGTTCATCTTAAAATATAATAATAACCACAGTAGAGATTAAGTTCAAGCGTTGAAGATTAGCGCCAATCAAAAGCTTTGGCTTCAGTAGACCTCAAATTCAAGAGAAAGAAATGACAATTGTTAGCGATCATATTAGATATTATAACAAGTTACTTTTCTTTTTAAGTTATAATTCAAAAAAAAATATTTTTAATGTTCCTTTTCATCCCAACTTTTATAAGTTGTAAAGATGTATGCCTGTATATGGTTTTTATGGTAACTGTCACACCGGCCATGGGTGGCCGCTTCAAGTTTAGCGCATTTTTGATAAATTCTAGAGCATTTTTTTCACGCATTCTGGAAATTAGTCAGATTTGACATTTTGGAAATATTTTAGATATGTTGAAAATGTTGTAAGAAAGATAAAATTTATAGGAGAAAAAAATCTAAATCTAACAAATACGTTCTCTTAATTGGTGGGTTGATCGAACTTTGAAGTTAAGAAATGTCTTACGGCTAAAGTTATCGGACCCAAAGGAATTGAGACTTTACCACTGATCAAGTTTTCTAATCTCTATATCTTTGCAACCGGCTGATGTCTCAAAAATTTCAGCCCATTCGATCCAGCCGTTTGGCCGTCTATAGGGAAAATATATAAGAATGTCTTATTTTAGAAGATATCTTGAAAATACACTTACAGTCCCATTATTTAATATACTATGTTATTTGTTCAGTGTATATCTACGATTGCTCTGGTAAAGAATGAAAGTGAGGTACTGGATTCTCCAATATGGATTATGCTCATCAATGTTGTGGCCCTAGAGATGCTTAAAGCTAAGATGCCAAGAATATCAGGTTAATCTTTAAAATGTCGTCTTTTAATCATTCCGAAGCAAAGACAATTGTCTCATTCCGTCTTTATTTTCTTTTTATCTATTTTTATTTGTCGATTTTTTCCTTTTCTCTATCTATTGATTGATCTTTCTTTCTTTCATCTGTCTATCTATATTCTTATTTTCTCATTTTATTCTATATACATATCTATCTATCTTTCTCTCTTTCTGTCTGTTTATCTATCTAACCTTCTCTCTATCAATCTATCCATCTATACCTACCAAATGACATTATCTAAAGTTGCCGTAGGCAAGACGTTATTAACTCAACGTATATAAGGGAAGACTAGAATGGAAGGGGGGAGGGGAAGGGATGAAGGGGGCCATATATAATTTAATTATGGGGTAACTTCCAGATATGTTGGAAAATAAATTTTAAAGATCAATATAAAAATATAAAAATTTTATGTCTCAAAGATACTCTTACATTGCATTTAAAACTTTTTCCTTTTCTTTTTCTCTGAGCTAGCTCCCCTCCCTCCTCTCCGTCCCTATCCTACCATCCTACCCATTCCAATTAAATCCCCATTATGAGCAAGCGAAACCACCATTGAATCCCCCCTCCCCCACCTCCATTATCCTATCACCCTTGTTTATGGTTACTTCCCCTATTAATTTCCCCCTACTGATATATAAATATATGATTGCGTAAATTGACGCTGTATGATCATATACGCTAAATTTGACGTCTTCAATCTACTTTAAATTGACTTTTCACATGAAAATGTCTTATTTGATTTGAGTTTGACAAAAACTAGCTTCTTGATAATGCATTAATTGAATGTGAAAAAATTACAAAAATTTACAGATTTGGACAAAACATTGAATTGCGATCAATCCAGATGATTTATTTATTATTTGTAAAAATAATATTTCTGTATATTTTTACACAAAAAAATGTAAACATTTATACAAAAAGAAAAAAAATTAAAATAAATGTTATTTTTTGGCAAAAAAAGAAATGTGTGATTGTTCTAAAAGCAAAATAAACTTTTCAATTTTATTTCAATATTTTGTATATTAAGGACCCTCCCGTGGTATTGGACAGTACCCCCTGAAGAAGCTGGCAGGGAGTGGATCCTCTGATGAAGATCCCTACTCCCTCACTCCCTCAGGATCCTCGGGATCCTCAGGAAAGGGTCCTCGAGGTCCTCATGAGGTTGGGAAAAAGGAGAGGGATTATTATGGACCTCAGAATTGGGCGGTTAAAGGAGGAGTAAATGATTTAAGTGACGAATATATTGAGGTGAAAAAAAAAATTCTGTAAACTTATTTAAATAATACTAAAATAGGATGACTATATATCAAATGAAAAAATGCAAACTCAAAAGTTTTGATATTTTCATGTAAAAAAATATAAAAATTATAGAAATTTTTTTTTCTTACCAAAGTTTCTTTTATAAAATTAAAAACCGTTAAATTGTTGGGAATTTTTCGTAAATCTTTTGAATTACATATTAAAAATAAATATTTCTAACAAATAAATAACTTTTTATTCTTCGTATTCGATTGTTGACTGTGTCAGGATGAGATGAACCTGGGCCTTAAATCTAAACTGCCGAGTAGATCTAGAACTAGAAACAACAAAAAAACAGACGAGAAGATGGATAGATTAGGTGGGTCAAATACAACAAAAATACCAATACCCAAAATTGGGACCTCTTTTTTAGATATTAGAACTTCCCAAAGGTATTTTCTTAAAAACGACTTCCCGAGGGAAAATTTCTTAAATAGCAACTTCCCAAATGTGCCTCAGATCATCCTAGCCGCAGCGCTCGACCCGCCCAATTGCAGCCTGCAACGCCTCAGATCAGAAGGCCTAAGCTAACCTTAAGTTTATACTTTTGGGGGAAGTTGCTGCTTGGGAAATTTCACATTTGGGAAGTTGCCGTTTGGTAAATTGTCACTTGAGAAATCGCCCTTGGGAACCCTCCCCCCCCCTTTTGAAACTCTAACAAAATTAAATCACCAGCAAATAAATAAAAAAATATAATACAATTAGAACATCTTTGTGTCCAAACATGTTTTTGTTTGTTTCCAAGTTTTGTGTTCTTGTAAAAAGTTTTATGCAAATTATTAAAATCGAATTTACTTGAACATATTTATGCACTGGGTTGCACAGAATATTAAAGTTTATACATGCGCGCCTTCTAAACTTTATTGTATATTACGCGCACGTTTTCTATCAAGATTATTTATCCTGGAAGCGAGGAAGGAAAAAAGTAATAATTGTAAAATAATAACGGGCTAAAAAATTCAAAACGTTTATGATTTCTTTTTTTCTTTTCTGTTTTCATTTTTGTTTAAGAATTAAACTAAATCTTTTAACATAACGTGAAATCTTATTTACATATATGTTTGTTATATATCAAATCTATCTTTTCTATTTTCATTCTTATTTAAGAATTCAAGTTCAGTGATAACTAGAAAGCTCTGAAATATCAAGAAGATTCTTAGACCTATTTATCAAATCTATCTTTACTATTTTCATTCTTATTTAAGAATTAAATTACAGTGATAGCTAGAAAACTCTGAAATGTCAAGACGACTATAAGAATCAAGTTGTGACTTCAACAATCCAATGAGACACAGCAACTGTACAGCTTGCCCCATTTCATTTTAATACTGATTTATTCAGTGTCTAGTAAAACTTTTTGCTTTGTATCAATATAAAATATGCTTAAGTATTGCTGAAAAGTCGTCATCCAACTCCATTGTTTTCTGGTTATCACTGTATATAGTCTAGCATAACAGAAAATCTTATTTATAAATTTTGATTATTTTCTATTTATCTATCTATCTAATTATCTATCTATCTATTTATATTTTTATCTTTCTATCTATATCTATCTATCTTAATCTATCTATATTTCACATTAACAGATGACATTTGTTTTAACCTTGAATCACTACTTGAGAGACATGGAATTAATTTTAAACAAAGCAAAACAAATTCATCATGGTTTTTCCCTTCACAACTAAATACATCAAATTTTCTGTGTACACTGGATTTTACTGCGTGAGAAAGAAACTGTACCATGTTCAGCCAGACATTGTTAATTGACGAAGTTAAGATTTACTTCCTTGTATGTTAAAAAATCTAAAATTATTTAAAATATAAAGAAAATAAAATCAAACCTTTATTTCTAGATGATCCTTACTATAACGGAATGAGCGCCAGAGTCCCAGCTTTTGGAAGAAAAGTGGAAAAACAACCGGAAAAACATTTTAATAGGTAAAGTTTTTACTTATAATTTAATTATTATTGTAAATTAAAGCTTGGCAAATGTTTTAAAATTAAAGCTTGGCAAATGTTTTAAAATTAAAGCTTGGCAAATGTTTTAAATTTAGAGCTTGGCAAATGTTTTAAAATTAAAGCTTGGCAAATGTTTTAAAATTAAAGCTTGGCAAATGTTTTAAAATTAAAGCTTGGCAAATGATTTAAATTTAGAGCTTGGCAAATGTTTTAAAATTAAAGCTTGGAAAATGTTTTAAATTTAGAGCTTGGCAAATGTTTTAACCTAGAGCTTGACAAATGTATAAGTTTAGAGCTTGACAAATATTTAAATTTAGAGCTTGGCAAATGTTTTAAATTACATTATTTTCATCTCTTTTTATCCTAGAATGAAGTCTCCTACCCGCCTGGGGGGCGTGTCTGGTAAGCTAGGTGGAGGAGTGGGCCAGATAGGGGGTGGAGCTGGTCAAGCCTGGTGGCATTCTAGACTTTACCCAGAAGGATTTCCAGGTGGGATTTTTTCAGATATCAAATTTTTGCCAATTTGATAATTTGATAATTTCGTTGACTTATGAGCACAGTAGCATGTTGACAACCCCATGTTGTAATTTTGCATGCCAAAAATACACAATTTTTATATTTTTAAAACTTCTTCTTTCCTGTCATAGAACTGTATAGGCTGAAGTAAAACTGAGAAGACAAAATATAAAAATAATTATTTGAATTACAAGGCGCTTGTCGCCACATTTGCTAGGAATAACTACAATCAACGCAGAAAAAATTCCATTGGAAAGAAAATTGACGTAAATTTAGAATTGACAATGTTTATGAGAAAGAGTATTCATCTATTTGACATTCAGTGTTAAAATAAATCAATATGCGCTCGGGAGCGTATTCAAGAATTTGTTCGGGGGGGGGGGAGGCGGTTTCCCGTCTGAAAATCATAGTTTTCCCTTCTCCAGAGGGGGGGGGCGCCTAGTTCCCATAGCCTCCCCCTGTGTACGCCTATGGCTAAAACAAATGAGGGCCTGAATAGATATTGTATGATGAGTGTTCTGCCAAGATCAGATCTCTAGACTCAAACATGCGGAACTCTTGTATACCTCGTTAAATAACTCCCAGGGCTGATAATTAGGGCTACGGAGGGAGGAGTGTTAAAATTTGAAAATAATTTTTTTTAAAAATTTTATATTTATTTAACAGATTGAATTGATTAATCTTAATTGATTACTTAATTGATTAAGTAATTTGAGAGTGACAATTTGATTTGTAAACTAAATATATTTTTGTATATCCTGGAATTTTCTGAATTGATTTGTTTTTTAATGCATAGTCTTCAGAATGGTTTATCAAATGAAATTGATAAATTGCTTGTCTGTAGAAAGTGGTGTATCCCTGCTGCATGTTGATCAGGGCGCTAAGGACCAACGACACGTGGAAAAGGATCTAAAAACAAAGGGTCAGTAAGTACAACGGGTAGCGGTGGAGTTCTGTACGCTTAGAGCTAAAGTCCAACAACGAGAGATCAGGATTGTGTTCTGAAATTTAAATCCTGCATTTTCATTGGCCAGTAAAAAACTGTCCTCTAATCCTAATTTTGGCTAGAATGGTTTCTTAAAAACATTTTTAAAACACGCTTTTCAAGCTTTCATTAACAATTAAATAACTAACCAATAAAAACCAATGTAATGCGGTTGGTGGTGATTGTTGTTGTTTGAGCCAACAGCTTTAATAGGCAAATAAATTTTTTAATTTCCTGTATTCCAGGAAAGGCAACTTTTGATTTTATATTAATATTTTAATATTCAAAAAAGGAAATTTAATTTATGTATGCAAATATTGTATGACCTCTAATAACTTTAAAAAGTATGTGGCTGACATGAAAAAGATGGTACCGGAGGCGCAACGGTGAGTGGTGGTAGCAGATTAAGACATCTTATTTAGGTTATCATTAATGCTGTTGCATGTCAAGAATAATATTTATAATAATGATATCATACCGAGATTAATTTGGGAATTTAAGTAATTATGCGGTGTAAGCATGAAGATGCTGAGAAAATTCATTAAATAAATGATATTTTCAGAATTGTCGAGCTACCACGATGGCGGACGGGGCAATGCGCAACAGTTGCCAAGGAACCGGTTTGCTTCTCCTTCCCGTCCTACCATTTTCCGCAGCGGCTGGGAATGATCATGGAAATCCGCCAAAAACTAAAATTTCCCCAGATCTGTGTACTAGTCCGTTCCATAGCTAGTCCAAAATGCAATATAATGTGAATAAAAGTAAAAGATAAATGAGAAAAAGACCTCTTCCTAGTCTAAACTGTAAGTCGCGGCATTGGTTCAATCTTAGTGAACAATAAAGCATTATTTTCTAAGTCATAACTAAGGCTAAAATTATACTCCAATGTATAATGTACATTATACCCATCCTAAATGTATGTAGGCCTAAAACCAGTAAATAATACTGCCATTTTTCCTCTTCCTGTAAAATATATGTACTTCAACGTAATGTGTTGTAAATGTAAATAGTGTAAACAATACTTTAATTATATTTTTTAAATTTTGTAAAGTTTTTATCATTGTGCTTAAAATTGGCAAGATTGATTTAAAACATTTGTTCTTTATTTTGTACGCAAAAAAATAGGGTTGGTCTACACCAAACGCTGTTTTGGATTTCAGAATTTAAGAAACAATTCGTTTTTATGGACCTGCAGTACCAACTTCTCACATTCGTAGAGTAAACTCAAATTATATTCGAACTACTATGACATTTCTTTGATCAACCATGTCTTAAAACTAACTTTTAAAACAAATTGATTCAATTAAAATTTACTAATATAAATGTATAATATCTGTTAAAATATTAAAACTTCAACTGCTTATTGTATTGTAATATTAAGAAGGGTTAAAATCATACAGAAATATTACATAAAAATAATTCAGTTTATTTTTAAACTGCTTTTTAACTATTATCATTGAAAACAAAGTTTTAGAATTGGTAGATATACAAACTTGTAAAGAAAAAATTTTCATCTTAACTAAAAAAAACTGTTTTGGTTTAATCTAATTTCATTGATTGTGAAATGCATTATTCAGTATTTTGACCTAATGCAGTTTCATGTTTTTTTTTCATTCCTTTTTTACAATTTTTCAATGTTATTTAGAACTTGTGATAAACAGTCGGCTGTGAATGTAGATTATTTAACCCTAATAAATACTTTTTGTAAATATTATTAAGAAATAAATATTTAGTAAATAATTTTTTTTTGCAAAAATATTTCCTTTCGAGTTTCGGGAATCAGCACTACTGTTGTGGTAGTACCCAGCTGGGATAATTTGAAGATAAACTACCCATAAGTTTAGACCTTCGGTTTATTAGTCAGTGAACACACATTCATCCTTTTAATTGATAGTCACGTCAAACTAAAGTAAATTGCACGTAGGTTTAAAATATTTTATGTTTTCAATCATAACTCCCTGTGTTGAAGAGCTATTTACTGAAGAACAAAAAGAATTTCTAAGATATGACTGGATAAAGGAATTGAGTCTTTTCACAAACTCAGATTTTCAAATCCCTATATCTTTGAAACCCAATAATAGACCTTAGATATTTCAAATTATGAATTAGGTTAGATCAAATAATCTAAGTTTAAAATATATAAGTTTCTGACAAAGACTTAACTCCTTTGCAATGCTCGCACTTGTGCGTAATATCCAAACTATAGAGAAGCTTAAAGATCACAAAGTCGCACAAGTAGTGTCGCATAACGCATAAATTTGACCTGCTCTGCATGGTTAATTTGCAGTGCATTGTTGGTACTTCACCGTTGTGCAGGGGATTTGCTTCTTAAATTTTGAAGTAGATATATATGTATGGTCTATCAAACTTTCTTTGCTGGTTATTTATTCAATGATAATAATGCAGAAAACAAAACGCTCGAGTTAATCTGGTTGATATCTCCTCTACTCCACATACACGAGTTGATCTGGTTGATATCTCCTCCACTCCACATACACGAGTTGAACTGGTTGATATCTCCTCTACTCCACATACACGAGTTGAACTGGTTGATATCTCCTCTACTCCACATACACGAGTTGATCTGGTTGATATCTCCTCTACTCCACATACAAAAGTTGATCTGGTTAATATCTCCTCTACTCCACATATACAAGTTAATCTGGTTGATATCTCCTCTACTCCATATACAAGAGTTGATCTGGTTAATATCTCCTCTTCTCCACATATACAAGTTAATCTGGTTGATATCTCCTCTACTCCATATACACGACTTGATCTGGTTGATATCTCCTCCACTCCAAATACACAAGTTGATCTGGTTGATATCTCCTCTACTCCACATACACGACTTGATCTGGTTGATATCTCCTTCACTCCACATACACGACTTTATCTGGTTGATATCTCCTCTACTCCATATACACGACTTGATCTGGTTGATATCTCCTCTAATCCACATACACGACTTGATCTGGTTGATATCTCCTCTACTCCACACACACCAGTTGATCTGGTTGATATCTCCTCCACTCCACATACACGAGTTGATCTGGTTGATATCTCATCTACTCCAAATACAGGAGTTGCAATTAAAATAACTTTATTTCAAACCTACAAACAGAGATACAGTTTTAGCAAATAAAATATTGGTATGCATCGTTTTTAATACTAAATGATATAACCTTAATATTAGGGTATATGTGGGGAAAATGAGAAGTCGGTAGGGTCTGGTTTAAACGTTTTAATACTTCTGGAAATAAATACCCCGTTGGTTAAATAAAATTGTTGATTACTGAGAGTTAATCATGGACTTTAAGCATTTACTGTATTTAAACGTGTTTTCACTTTTCAATGATTGTTGTATCTGTTGTCGGAGGGAGGTTTGGTTTGGGGGTTGCTCCGGGAGTGGGGGGGGGGGTTGTTCTTTTTGAAAGACAACATCTCTTGGAGAAAGGTTTCAAACATGATTTATGGTCTACAAATATATCTTTACTGAGTTGATTCCGATACAGCCAAGACATTCTTTTCTTGTATAAGTTTCTTTTGAAAGCTGATTACTTTCAATTATGGATTCTAAATTCATATTTTTGCGTCAGAAAATATTTGAAGGATTTTGTCCAAATCGAAATTTGTCAATCAAGACAAGTGACGCCGACGGATGTGAATCAGGAAAAGGTAATTGTATTTGAACTGGAAAAACCAGCCGTATTGTATCCTAATTTTAATATGAGACAAAAGCTAGGTTTTTGGTGGAGTAACCAATAAATGTTGGTGCCCTAATACTCAACTGTTTTTCTTTCATAAGCCAAAATGAAATGTAATTTTTAGGTTTAATAAAAGAATTTAAAAATTTACTTTACATGCTTTTCTTACATTTTCTGAAATACAAATAACCTATGAGCAATTTAACTATAATGGATGACAAAATATCTGCATTAACAGTAAATTTATAAAAAAGTAATGTGGTGAAGTAATTTATAATAAGAAAAGAATGTCAAAAGCTTAAACAAGTGAATACAAGATACAAGTTTGATATTTTCTGTCTAAAGAGGTTCTTGATGTCGTCTTTATACTAATGTGTTTATTGGTGACAATAATTTTTGGACTAATAAAGTTTTGTTTTGATCATTATTGCAGACCATCTAGGCTAACAAATAAGTCCAATTTTTAATTTTCAAGACTCGGTCAACTTTTAAGAGTCGCCTTGTCCTTTGATTTTACTTAAACTAATCACTTAACCCTATTCCTGCTGGGGGGGGGTCAATTTGACCCCCCCTGTAGTTTTTTTTACATAACTCAAAAAGTATTGGACTGAGGCTGTTGAAATTTTCTGACTTTTCCTACATACCCAAAGCCCTCCATTTAGGCCTAAAACCGGGCTTTAATACTAACTGCCTGAGTCCTCAGGCACACTGCCTGAATGACTGCTTTTTCCTGTAACAAACTAAATCTTTGTTTTGACCCACTTCCACTTGTCAGATTTTGATAAGATTTAGCTTTTTGGAAAGCCTTTGACATAAGGAAACGGATTACACAAGTTATGCGAAAAAAAATTGCAAATTTTTTGCAAACAACCTGTCAAAGGAAATTTGCACATTTTTAGTTTTTCTTGATTAAAAATCAGATTATTTAAAATTTTGAAAAAATGTTTGCATATTTAAAATGGCATGGTCAAGGGCTTTTCAAAAATGTATAATTTTTCATTTTTTGGACAAATTTTTTTTTGCAAACATTTTTTCCTGTAACAAACTAAATCTTTGTTTTGACCCACTTCCACTTGTCAGATTTTGATAAGATTTAGCTTTTTGGAAAGCCTTTGACATACAAAGCAATTACTTTTTCTTGTATCTTACCTGATCACATCTAAAATGGGTCTGTTTGAAGAACACAACTGCTGTGTTTAAAGTTCAATGAACCATTTAAAGTCGTAAATTCATTCTAAAATCGTTTAACCTATTCCAGAGTTTTATGGTTATCACTGTATAGAATAATAGCACCTTTAAGAATCCCTCTCATGTTGTTCCAGATATCAAAATCCAGAACCATTTCTAAATTACTAACAGTTTATTTAAAATCATGAACAGAGTTTTAGCGATTTAAAAGTTATTGAAATATTCCTCTCATTCTTTTTATAAATTCGAACACAATGTTGTAGTTTCAAAATATTTAAATTGTTGTTTGATATGTCTATTCTATCTTATTCTGATCGCTAAATTTTTGTCCTTAAATGATATAATTAATCATTGTGCAATTAAAGTAACAATTTATTACTTTGTCCTGTATAATAATACTCTTCGCTTATATATATATATATATATTTGTATATATGGATATGATATATGTTATATATGAATATGATATTATTTATTTATATAGATGTGTTATACTGGCCAAAAGGCTGGACCAAATTAGCGAAAATAGGTCTTTTTTATGTGTAAATTTGTGAAAATCCAGTGGCAACGCCGGGGACGTCAGCAAGTAATGTGCAGGGTGTCCCAAATCATGTTAGATCGTCAATGGGTCTATATTACAATTTCCGGGACTTATCAGAAAATTTAAGAATAAATCATTTAGAAAAATTGAATGAGCTGCTAATATTAAAATTTAATTCAGGAAATGCTATGTTTTTCGAATATTATATGCTTATTTTGGAGTTTTAAAGCTTGGAGATAATCTAATATGATATGGGACGCTCTGTATACATATAGAGCAGTTTTAGCGGTTTATCTTGTTTGGGTTTGGGTGCTACATCTATGTTATAATATACTAAACACTCCAGCCAAATTTAAACTATTTACACTAGGTATCAATCAAAGAGAACTAGATATATTTGGGGTGGGGTGGGGGGGATGGGGGGGGGCGGAAACAACAATGTTATGACAGGCTCAGTAGGCGGCCTATTCTATTTATTTTACAGTAAGATTTTAAAGGGTGTCAAAAAAAATTCCCTAAAAAGATTTGACGTTTTAGCAAATGATGTTTTCCTTCACAATCTTAAAAGAAATTTAGTAAAACATTGTTTTATTCTAAATTTTCTAAAATATATTTTTTTGACAGATTTGAATATCGTGGCATAGACAATACACACAAAGATTTAATACAATGCCTAGGAATTAGAATATCTAATAGGGCAGACACAGAAGCTGACAATCATGTAAAGTTCATTTAAATCTGGTTCCTAACATCTATGCTTCTACAGTGTTACCAATGAAACTGTGAAATAGGAAGACGACATGTAAGCAATATTATGTGTATGTGTTAAAAGCAAATAGGCTTAGTTCCACTTCACAATTGCCGCGTGTCATGATGACTATTTAAAGCCTATTTTAAGACTTTTTAAAGCCTATTTAAAGACTATTTATAGCCTATTTAAAGACTATTTATAGCCTATTTAAAGACTATTTAAAGCCTATTTAAAGACTTTTTGAAGCCATAAGTTAAGTCTACCAGTTGTTTTCATATTCCACTGTGCTATGGGTCTCACTGTTTTATAATTTAAAACGTCTAATTGAAGTTCAAATACTTGGAAGATTTGATTTCCAATAGAATACTTAAAAGGCAAGGATGTCCCTGAAAAACAGTTTCCTCCCAAGGGTCCCACTTATTTGTACTATTAAAACAGAACTGTACAGTAAAGGTCGTCTTTGTTTTTTCCCTTACTTAAAAAATGTATTTAATTGGATTTTGTAGCGTTGTTACAAATATATTTCTGAAAATGTTTCAGTAAATTTGTTAGAAGAAAAATAAGTGGCTAATTACAAAGGGACAATTATGAATAAAAAAAATAAGACCCAGTAAGAACAGTAAGTATAATTTCAAGTGAATTTACATTTAATAGGGGGGCTGTCGATTCACAACGATGTCCTTTAAACCTTTGACTGAGCAAGGTTGTCAGGTTTTTCCTTTTTTATCTAGAGAAATGGTTTTATTGCTGAACACCTTGTTTGTTATCATATTCACCAATTTTACACCTTTTTATTGGTTTTATTGTTGAACACCTTGTTTGTTATCATATTCACCAATAATTACACCCTTTTACACAGCATTTCAGATAAATGTACATTTAGTTCTTTGTCCTCAATGATCATGGACATGGTCAACAGATTAAAGTGACCATTCCTTACTTTACTGAAATTGTTAAATTTGAGTTTTAAAAAATAAATGTTTCATCTTGTAAACTATTTTGTGAATTTAAATCTATAAGTTTATCCATTTAAAGCCCAGCAGACCTCTATTGATAAATAACAATAGGAATTCATTTGATTGCATTATTATCATATTTATTGTATTTATTGATTATTAAACAATTCAACATTATTTCCGGATTAAGGAACACATATCAGGAAAAGGGGGATTAAAATAAATTAGATAGATATTATTCTATTTTTGAAAACACAGGTTTTTAAGATTAAAATAGTATTTGCAAAGTTACAATCACAATTAGGGTTTCCACGAAATGGCTAAATCTTTTGCGCAAAATTTTTTTTTTTGCGATTTTTTGCGCTATTTTTTTAATCTCGTGAAAAATAATGCAAGAAAGTAACCAATGCCTGAAGAATCCACTTTTAGGAAATATGCATGTCCAAAACTAAAATTGTCGAGAAAATTGTGAGATTTGAACTCTTCTTAATTCTGTCATTGGTCCAAATAGTAAGACATTCCACAACAAGATTTTTGCAGAATTGAACTCTAAGAAACACACACTGTCACCAACCGTTTGATTTTTACAAAATTGCGGAATTGCGCAAAACTTGAGTTTCGCAAAAGCGGAATAGGGCAATTTTGCGCGAAATGACTTTTGCGAATGATTGCGCAAATTGTCGTTTTCGTTCCGCAAAAATTGCGCGAAAGTTTTGCGAATGGAAACCCTAATCACAATTTGAACACCTAAATGAAATCTAATACCGATTAAGAACTAAATAACATAAATAATTTCAATTTTTTCTTACTTTCTTTATTTAAGAATAAAAAATCTAGTTACTTATTGTCGATTCTTTCTGAGAATTTATTCATCTATGTCCAGCAGCTTTCTTTTTCTAGAAAGCTTTCCATTTTCTTGCTTTCTTTATTTGTCTGCTTTCATATTTATAAAACCTCTGAACTTAGCAAAGCAGTTTACCCTATATTTGCTCTATTTAAGAGTTTGTAATTATTTTTAAAAAATGTATCACCAGTTATAGAGTGACTTCTCAATTAATTTGATATACACGAGTAATATGTGAGAAACATACAATCATAAAAAAAACGTTTTCCATCTGAAAAACAGACCTCATTTGTATCATCTTTCTGATTGTTTTAAGTCTTTTTTACAATATAATTTAATACGATATCAGTTATAACATAGTTTTTACAATATTTAATACAATATCAGTTATAACATCGTTTTTACAATATTTTTTAAAATATCTGTTATAATATAGTTTTACAATTTTTATTACGATATCAGTTATAACATCATTTTTACAATAGTTAATACAATATCAGTTATAATATTGTTTTTATATTATTTAATACGATATCAGTTATAACATCATTTTTACAATATTTAATACAATAACAGTTATTACATCGTTTTTACAATATTTTTTACGATATCAGTTATAACATCATTTTTGCAATATTTATTACTATGTCAGTCATAACATCGTTTTTAACAATATTTATCATGATATCAGTTATACCTTCGTTTTTACAATATTTATTACAATTTTAGTTATAACATCGTTTTTAAATATTAAAACGATATCAGTTATAATATCGTTTTTAAAGATATTTACTATAATATCAGTTATAACATTGTTTTTACAATATTTATTAGGATATCAGTTATAATATTGTTTTTAAATATTTAATACAATATCAGTGATAACATTGTTTTTTACAATATTTATTACGATATCAGTTATTCCATAATGATTACAATATTTATTACGATGTCAGTTATAACATCGTTTTTACAACATTTATTACAATGTCAGTTGTAACATTATTTTTACAAGACTTAAAACGATATCAGTTATAATATCTTTTTTAACAATATTTATTATGAGATCAGTTATACCATCGTCTTTACAATATTTATTACAATATCAGTTTTAACATTGTTTTTACAATATTTATTATGATATCAGTTTTTACATCGATTTTACAATACTTAATACGATATCAGTTATAACATCGATTTTACAATATTGTTTACGATTTCAATTGTAACATCATTTTTACAATAAATATTACGATATCAGTTATAAAATCAGAAAGGTTTTACAATATCAACGTTTTAATTAGTTTTTGACAACTTTAAAAGACGGGAAGTGGTCCTAGAAATACGGTTACTTGCTACAGTGAAATATTAAGACGACCTTCAAGTATTTCTTTTTCTTCTATATATAAATTTGACTTGTCTGTTTGTTTGTTTGTATCCAATAAACGTCAAAACGGCTGAACCGATCGGGCCCAAATTTTTTGAGGGGACATCTAGGGACCCCAGGGAAGGTTTATGAATGATCAAAATTTCAAATATTTGTCTCCATCAGAATTCGATCTTCATTAAATTTTTGAAAATTTTGAAAATCCACGAACCTTTTTGTGAAAACCCGCGAATTATTTTTGTTTTGTTTTACGATGTACACAAAGAGAATATGTTCACAATTAATTTAGAAAATTGGCGCGAAGCGCCCTCTAAGGCTAGTTATATATAAATTTGGCTTGTCTGGATGTCTGTTTGTTTGTTTGTATCCAATAAACGTCAAAACGGATGAACCGATCGGGCCCAATTTTTTTGTGGGACATCACGTGACCACAGGGAATGTTTATGAATGATAAAAATAAAAAAATGTGTTGATTAAAGGTTTTTAATTTTGCGAAAAAAAATTAAATTCTTGAAAATCCGCGATTTTTTTTTAAAAATCCGCAAAATTTTGTTCTTCTTCGTTTTAAAATGTAAACAAAAAGAACAGGTTCACAATTAAAATAGAAGATGTGCGCGAAGCGCCCTAAAAGCCTAGTATATTTTTATTAAAAAGAAAATAATTTTACTAATGTTTATAGGACTTCTACAACTCTAGTCTAATAATCGTCTAACGTCTTCCTAAACCTAAATTGTATTGGTCCCATTGTGAATTACAAAATTCAAGGATACAGATTGAAGCTATAATAAACTTCAATGATTTTTTAATAATTATTTTTTATGCAGATACACGATGTCGTTTTCTTCCTGGATGAAAGGAGAACAATTCAGGTAAATCTTAAAAAGAATTTTATCTTATTTCTTCAATAATTTTTTTTATATATTGATGTATGTTTATTTTCTCATTTAGAGACCATTTTGATACAGGAATATATGTTTGTTCCAAATGCAACCATCAACTTTTTTCAAGGTATTATTAGTAAAAGTTGTGTAGCAGTAGTAGTAGCATTATGAGTATTATTATTCTTGTTATCATTAATATCATTTTTTCTTTTATCATTTTAGCGACTCAAAATTCAGCCATGATACGCCCTGGCCGGCTTTTGCGCAAACTTTACAAAAAGGTAAAATAGTTTTTTAATCGACTTTTTGTTATTCTTCATAATATTTGAAATGTTCAGATTCAGTTTCAAAGCGACAAGAAAAACCGGGTACACTGAAGGTAGTTTTAAACACAAATGTATTTGCGCTACAGGGTGTCCCAATAAACATGGGAATTCAGTAACTAATTCGATATCGTCTTTTTAAATAATTCTTTGATTTAGTATAGTGATTTCTACTGAGAAAGCTGTAATCTGTAAGAGTTTCGTCTGCTATGTTCACATTTTGTTTGTTTATGTTTTGACTGCATAAGGGTGTACTTGGTAAAACAAGAAAATTGCTGTATACAAACAGAGTAAACTTGTCCGTCTTCACTGTTCATCTTGCGGAGACATTATTATACACATCTTTACAGTCTTTTGCTCTTTTCATAAAATAAACTCTAGCAGACATAATGATATTATGGCTTTTGCAATAAGGTATTACAATGCTTATTCATAACAAAGACGATATCCAATTCGTCACTGAACTCCCATGTTTTTTGGGACACCCTGTATCATTGCATGATGACTGATGAGGGATGCTCTTTAATTGGATAAGACTTCAGAGACACTGCTTAAAGGAATTTAAAGGGACTTTAGGCGTAATTTCAAGTGATCCTCGATATGTAAAGAGGGCAGTGTCCGATTTATAACTTAAAAACTCTCTTAAGTAAATTATATTAATTACGGAATGCAATAAAAGGCAATTTAAGTTTCAAGGCACATTTAAACGATATTTGTCAAAAGATTTCGGAAAAAATAGGATTTTCATCAAAACTTTGAAAAATTTTGCGATAAAGTAATTAAAAAGTTTCCATTTTTACTTAGCTGGAGCTGGATGTAAATTTTGCGAAAGAGATTGAACAAACATTTGGAAACCATACCTAGCAGACTAAACATCTATGGATTACAGCTTTACATCATTTTATGAAAGATGTAAAGCTGTAATCCGTTTATTGGGACACACAGTAGTATAAATAGATTCAGCTTTTGCTCATTTCAATTTACATTTTAAAAGATAGCCATAAACAATTTGAAGAATGAATCTAGGTAAGCTGCGGTGGATGCGGGAATGGATTGGGTCATGAGTTTATTGGAGACGGACCTAAAGGAGCTTCGAGATTTTGAATATTCAGCCATTCACTGAGGTACTAAAGACGACATAAATATTTTTTATACTAAGTGGCTTTAAGCAAATATTAACTCACATCAATCAATCAATCTAGCTAGGCATTCTTCTTGAAGGAATTTCATGAAAAGTATAAAAGAAAGATTGAAACAATTTTAAGCAACTTGACTGAGTGATTTTTAAAAATTTGTATAATTTACTTAATCTTCTGATCTGTATAAAACTAACGGTTCAATTTTATATATTAAATTTTGTAGGTTTGTGCCTGGAAAAGGCAAAACTACAGAGACTGAAAACAAAATGTCGGATTCTGGCTGCTGAGGTTAAAAACCGGTTTCTAAATCAGCTGTTCAAGCAATTTAGGGCCAAACCAAATATTCTGAATTTTTGTAATTTTCTTTAAACTAAACAAAAAATGTGTTCTAAATATTTATCAGTATTTAAAGAAACAATTTTTTAATCCTAATCACATTCCTTGATTTTTAAACTTTTTCTGCTAAATGACGCAATACTCTAAAATGATTCCAAAGTGTATTGCAGATGAAGTAATAAGCAAGAAAATAAAAATATGAATATATTTATAAATGTATATTATCTGTAAACCAAATAAAAGTCTTTAAAAACATTATTTATTTGTATTTTATGTTTTGCCTATTTGATTTGTGTTGATTGTCCAAAAGTAATACACTTGTTAATTCTTAATGTTCAATTTTTTAAACATAGAATTTTTCATTCATGTCTTTTTTTAAACTTTCCGATATTTGTGTTGACTTACTGACTTTCTGACTTACTGACTTTCCATTGTTCAGAGTTAATGACCTTTTCCTTTTATAGTTATAATGCTAGAGATATGAAAACTATAATTTTGAAAAGCACTTGAAAAATGCATGTTGAAACATGTGTCACACTAAGATATTTATTTAAAACCCAAAAATTTTTTTCTGTATTTTTTAACCCTTTTTAGGCAGTTTTTTAAGACCCTCCATATAACACCCAAACTATTAAAATTATCGGTCTATTTTTTTTTAGGTGGCCTTGAAAATTTGAGCTATGAACATGCATTTCAACCCTAAACCTAGTCCCTAAGGTTTGTTTCTAGGGAGGGAGGCGCCAAACGCCCCCCACAGGCTATACGCAGAGATGTTACAAGAAACATTACCTAAAGTATAGTAAACCTCAGCAGACTCAAAAGCCTTTCATGAGTCAGAACAGGACAAAGAGGCTGAACCGAAACACAGAACAGAGACTGAAAAAATATATTCAGAGTAAAACAGTTGAATTAGTAATTACAGAACCTACAGTTAGGACTGTTAATCAATTTTGAAAACGATTATTAAACGATCGTTTTTTGTTTCGTTTTTCGATTGTTTTCAAAAACAATCTATTCCTTTTCGGTAAAAACACTTGTTTTTAAAAACAACCCACTCATTTTGAATAATAATCGTTTTTAAAACCGACCATTTTTATAAAAACTATTTGCGACCGGTTTTTCTACGATTGTTTTAAAAAAACGATTGCTTTTGAAAAAACGATAGCTTTTGAAAAAAAATTATATTGACAATTATGTTTACGGTCATTAACGATCGTTAACGAAAGGATGTACTTTATAAAAACGATCGTTTTTGAAAAAAAATTACATGCAACTTTATTGAATGTTGTCTTACATGAAGTTGAACAGTTGTGGGGAGCTAAAACTTCTTGATATTTTCTCAAAAACTACTTAATAATAATTACAGATGCCTTCAGGTCTGTTTCCTCTCTTTGTTAACGATCGTTAACAAAAGGTCGTCGTTAACAATTGTTAATGAAACAACGAGTTTTATAAAACGATTGTTTTGAAAATGACCATTTTTAAAACACCAACTTTTTAAAAAATGATCGTTTTTAAGAATGATAGTTTCGTTTTAGATTGTTCGTCGTTGTTTTCATAAAAAAAAATATGGTTTAAAAAAAATAAAAACGTTAACATCCCTACCTACAGTACATTGAGCAACATCAACAACAAGATCATCAGGAAGATCATCAGGCTCCGGAGAACGCAGGTCAACAAGAATTTCTTAACCAGTAAACAAATTTTACCCATTCTCTTTACCAAGAACAACCAAAAATAATTTTCATACAAGTTTACTGTCAGCAGTCAGGAACAAGGGAAGCAAAATATCGGGGAAAATGTTTTTCCATAGCAAAGACTGGACGACCAGTGCTAAACAAAGCATGAGTGAAAAGACCTCTAGGACCCTCCAGACGTCCAAGGAATAAAAGCAGAATATCAACCAGGATCAGAGCAGCATCTCTAGAAAAACTGCACAGGACAGGAAGTATAAAAATCAATCAATCAATAATTGGTAAATGAGGATATAGAGTAGAGAGGGGGAGAAATAGGTCAGAAAGTAGGTCAGTAAGTAGACGACTAAGAAGTAGAGTAGGAAGCACAGACAGATGGGAAAGTAGTTTATGACCGACAATGAAGACGACAATGACAATGAAAAGGGTAAAGAGGTGGAAATCCATTTCATTGGGAAAAAGATTTTTATAGTTGCCAAAGTCAAACCACAGTAACGCTCTAACCAAGGATGGGAGAATGGATACCAATTAATTGCAATTTAAACAACAAAAACAACAATGATTTTTTTTATATCCTGTAGTATTTAATTCAATCATTGAATTCAATCTAATGATATCCAAGTTCTCACTCCAGGCTGGAGCATTACATTCTACAGTTATTTATAATTTTAATGATAATGATGTCTTTGTTCAGTTCAGAAAGGGAGACGGCGTAACTTGGCTGGTCAACCTGGAGATCGGAGGCAGAGGTCCGGCGGAGGACAGCAGAGCAGGAGGGGGGGAACTATCCCACTCATGTTCTTAGGCATCATAGCAGTATTGACAAACCCAACCAAGAACTCTGGAAACTTAAATGTCCTTGGTTATGATTGCAGCAACCCTAGTGATATTAAAGTTCATGATGCAGGGGCACTATGAATGCCCCCAGAAAACATAACTGGATGATACAACTAGATGATAACTAGATGTCCTAAACTCCACTTAAACTCACTTTTGAATTCCTATCACCGTACCAACTGGATGAAATCTGGGTGAAAAAACTCGACTTAAACTCAATTGTTGCAGAGTTGAGTTCTTCTGTCTTTACCCCTGAGATAAAAGTTGGATTTGGTAGAAGGAAAAAATCAGCAATTGGAGCCACAATGTCCTGCCTCACAACTTCACAAGTAGGGATGTTAAAGTTTTCATTTTTTTTAAAAAGATCGTTTCGTTATGAAAACTACGACAAAAAATCAAAAACAAGGGTCATGTTTAAAAACGATCATTTTTTTTAAAAAGTTCGTTTTTTAAAAATGGTTGTTTTGAAAACAATCATTTTTAAAAAGGATTGTTTCTAAAAACGATTGTTTTTATAAAACTCATTGTTTGGTTATAACAATTGTTAACAATGAACCTGCGTTAACGATTCTTAACAACAAACCTTCGTTAACGACGACAATTTGTTAACAATCGTTAATGACGACCCTTTGTTAACGATTGTTAAAGAAGATAGTAAACCGACCTATAGGGCATCTGTACTTATCATTGAGTAATTTTTAAGAAAATATCAAGAAGTTTTAGCTCTCCCACAACTGTTAAACTTCATGTAAGATGACATTTAATAAAGTAGCATGTATTTTTTTTCAAAAACGACCGTTTTTAAAAAGTTTGTTATTTTGGTAATGATGGTTAACGACAACCCTTTGTTAACAATTGTTAACGACGACCCTTTGTTAACAAGCATTAACATAATTGTCAATAAAAATTTGTTTTTCAAAAACGATCATTTATTCAAAAGTGATCATTCTTAAGAAAACAATCGAATTAAAAATGGTCCCAAATTGTTCCAATAAAAACGATTCTTTTCAAAAACAATCGTTATTTTTATTCTAAAAGTTCAAAAGGAGTGGGTCGTTTTTAAAAATGATTGTTCTTTTCCAAAAACGAAACGATCGTTTTTGAAAACGAAACAAAAAACAATTGATTAATGATCCTTTTCAAAAATGATTTACAATACTAGTCACTAAGTGTTTGAGAACCAGCAGATGCTCCGCCTCATCACCTCAGCTTTGAAACATTTGTATTCAATAGGGGAAAAGTTATTTACCAGTACAGCTGCATGTACAAAAGTGAACATAAAGTTAATGGATAAAGACATATGTTATGCAAACGTTCCAATACAAAGTTACTAACAATATCAATTCTTGAGCATAACTAAACGAATGCTAATTTCATTTTCTCTGGAGCTTTGCAAGAGCAGTACAAGGTATTTATGGATGAATAAGATTTGGACCTGGATTAAGGATTATTCCTCCGCCCTAGTAAGAACTCAAACTGAGGATGAATTTCCTTCATCCTGATGATGAAGTGGGTCTGTACACAGCAGACTTTGATCATGTGGTTGGGTTAAAAGGATATAACAACTTGGTCACAAGCTTAATAGTCAATGCCATGTATTGTGGAGATAACAATTGTGAACTACATGAACTACCTAGTGGACCATCATATTCATTGACAAAGTTGGAAAATGAGTTATAAGATATGACACAGCGGTACCAGTACAAACGTCGGACCCACAAACGCCAGACGGTACAAACATAAGACTTACAAACGTCAAACAGTGCAAACGTCGGACCAGTACAAACGTTGGACCAATACAAACATCGGACCAGTACAAACATCAGACTGGTACAAACGTCGGACCAGTACAAACGTCTGAGGGGTACATTTATAAGGAAAAACTTCAGACTAAGGAGGAAAAGATATATTTGAATTTCAAGATGAAAATTCTTGTAAATTCGCAATTTTCTCTCAAAATAATTCCCAAATTTTTTGTTAAAAATTCATAATCTCACAAAGTCTGGATACATGGACGAGGAGACTGCTAACTATATTGAGGTTAAGCAGGGGGGACGGCACCAACTTGATTCAAATCAGTTTGAATATGGGGTTACAAAGAAGAAAGCCAACAAAACCTATTACCAATGCATTCAAAGGAAAAACAATTATTGTCCTGCAGGAGCATTTGTAAATAGTGAGAATTACAAGATTATCAGTTTCCTGGGAGAGTATACACATGACAGTGATCTTATGAAGAAAAGAGTACGTGAAATAGGAAAACAAGTTGTTAACCCTATTCCTGCTGGGGGGGGGTCAATGTGACCCCCCCCCTGTAGTTTTTTTTACATAACTCAAAAAGTATTGGTCTGAGGCTGTTGAAATTTTCTGACTTTTCTTACATACCCAAAGCCCTCCCTTTAGGCCTAAAACCGGGCTTTAATACTAAACTGCCTGAGTCCTCAGGCACACTGCCTGAATGACTGCTTTTGCCTGTAGCAAACTAAATCTTTGTTTTGACCCACTTTCACTTGTCAGATTTTGATAAAATTTAGCTTTTTGGAAAGCCTATGACATAAGGAAACGGATTGCACAAGTTTTGCGAGAAAAAAAATTGCAAATTCTTTGCAAACAACCTGTCAAAGGAAATTTGCACATTTTTAAAATTTTGCAAAAATTTTTGCATATTTGAAATGGCATGGTCAAGGGCTTATCAAAAATGTATAATTTGTCATTTTTTGGACAAAT